CACAAATACAGAAGAGAGACTGTCGCTGCCTCCAAGACCTCATTGTCCCATCTGAGAAGCATCATGTTCCCACAACCACTGAGGGGAACTCAAAAGTCCACTACGCAGCAACACAACTGCTACTGCACGCTGTAGAGTGTTACACCACTAGGGGCTCTCCAACCCCGGTGCGCTACAAAGCACCATGGCATCTTTCCATGGAGAGGGGTAGGCATGGTGAGCAGAGCTACAAACAACAGGAAGGCATCAACCAAAAAGGACACCCAGGGCAGCTACAACGGCTGAAGTGGCAACCAAGTTCTGCACTGGTGTAAGAGTGGCCATGGGGTAGGCCCACCGAGGGAGGGGAGACCCGGGGCTGGGAGACAACTTGCATTCCCCCTCCCTACTGTACCGCTCAAAGCCTCCATTTGCAGGCAGTGACAACGATATGGATTTTTGCCCTTTCTTAGGGAGTCACCAGGGCCGTGTCCAGACTCAGGGGTTTTTTCGGGAAAAGTAGCCTTTTCCCGAAAAAACTTCCCCTGCGTCCAGACTCAAGCCGCGTTCTTTCGAAATTATTTCGAAAGAACGCAGCTTTTCTTTCGATGGCGGTAAACCTCATTTCACGAGGAAGAACGCCTTCTTTCGAAAGTTCCTCTTTCGAAAGAAGGCGTTCTTCAATGTAAAGAGGCCGTCTTCGAAAGAGAGCATCCAGACTCGCTGGGTGCTCTCTTTCGAAAAAGCGGATTTCTCTTTCGAAAGATCCGCCTGCAGTCTAGACGCGATCTTTTGAAAGAGGCTCTTTCAAAAGATGCTTTCGAAAGAGCCTCTTTCGAAAGAAGCCTGCAGTCTAGACATAGCCCAGATGAAAAAAGGAGTTAGTGGCATTGAGAGGGAATCCCGTGAAACCCACCGTGGTCCTTGCCTTCCTGACCCCTCTCAAAGTGCCACTGCGAAAGCGTCAGGTGACCTCGTTTCATGTTTTAAATCCCTGGTGCTGAGCTGCTCATCTACTGTACATGGGAGAGAGACAGTGAGAGAGACAGCGAGGGTGTGTCTAGACTACAGGGTTTTTTCGAAAAAAGGAACCTTTTTTCAAAAAAACTTCACCTGTGTCTAGATTGGCGCTGTGTTCTTTCGAAATTAAATCGAAAGAATGTGGCAGTTTTTTCGACCGCGGTAAACCTCATTTTACGAGGAATAACGCCTTTTTTCGAAAGGGCTCTTTTGAAAAAAGGCGTTCTTTAATGCAAACAGAGCTTTTTTTGAAAGAGAGCATCCAAACTGCCTGGGTGCTCTCTTTCGAAAAAGCGCTCTCTTTTTCGAAAGATTCTTTCGAAAAACTTTCTATCGAAAGAAGCATGTAGTCTAGACGTAGCCTTTGAGAGAGCGAGAGAGAAGCAGCATCCGCCTCCACCATGCATATGGAGTTACATAAAACCCTACAGAAAAGAGACAATCACCAGGTGGGTGACGGGCTGGTTGGAGGCTCCCCCCACCTCCCAGGCAGGACTGTCCCAACCCCAAGCTTCCCACTCCCCAACAGCCCTTTACAGTAGGCAAGGTGGGAGAGGCTGCAGCTCCCCGCCCCCCACATTCACTGCTGGTCATTCCCCTTCATCAGGGAGCGAGGGGAAGGTGCACAGATCGCTCCAATCTTCAATCTGGCTGGGGAGCATCTGGATCTGCCCCAGCTGGGAGACATGCACCTTTCCCCCAGCTGTGTCTGCTGGACCTGCAGTGGCCATGGAGAGGTGCTTCTCACCTGGCCCCTCGGTGCTGCAGAGAGAGAGGGCTGAAGTTGTCCTCTCTCCCCAGGCCAGCCTGCGTCTTGAACCCCTCCACCCACACACCTAGAGCAATGATTTACATGAAGAAAAATAAAAATTAATTGAATGTAATGATCGGCACAATGCCAGGTAAATCGTCTAGTAGAATTGCAATTAGTCATGTTAAGAGGGAAGTGGATAGACTGCATGTCTCTTTGTGGATGGAATTGGGGATATTCATCTTCACCAGGAGGCCAGTCTAATTAAAACGAACACAATAGCAATAACACTTTGTATCCAGTAGTGCTTTGAACCCACTGATCTCTGAGCTCCTTACGATAGCGTGCGATCATCACTGCCCTGCTTTGCAGATGGGGAAACCGAGGCACAGAACAGTAAGGGATTTGCAAGCTGATTTGGGATGAGGACTCCGGTCACCTGACTTCAGGCCCTGCGCTCTAATCACTGAAAGGCTGTCTTCCCTTCCTTCTGAATTAATGCTGCAAATTTCTTTGACCACCAGTGCCCTTCCAAATGGCACAAAGGACGACTCCAAAAAATCCCAGGGAGGGAAAAGGGTTAAACAAGGGAATTTCATTTCTTTCTTGTAATATTTTCGTGTGGGGGGGAGCCATGTTGTACAAGCAGGAGTTTTTTCACTGGCGCTAAGCACTTGCACTTATCAATGGGACCTTTCAGGAGTCACTCTCCCTGATTGAGACATCATTTCCTGTCCAACACACTAACCCCATTGATAACTTCAGCTTGATGGGAACTTTTCAAACCCACCAGGAAAGGCTGGGAGACCCAGAAGAACATATACATGAAAACAGAACTGGAGATTAAAAAACAAAGAGAGAAAGAAAGAAACAACTGCATTGGCCATGACTCTTACTCTAATACAAATACACATTTCGAAATGCTCATCAGTGAACTAGCACAGCATCAGCCCTAGAGAAACAGCTCCACTCGGGGCTCATCGTCTCTGGCTTTGGTACGGACCAGTCCACGCACTTCAGCCCAGTCAGTAGATGGGGTGGGGGGAATGCAAAAGGAAACACAGGAAAGATGACGAATGTTCCCTTTTCTGCCTCCATTCCATGTCACTTCATCCGTATCACAAACTAGGGATTTGGGTCATGGGACTTGCAACGCGAAGGTCAAGCTTTCGATTGAAGAAACTAAAGCACTCCAGCCTGCATTTTTCAAACGCGAGCAGTGATTTGCGGTGCCCAGCTACAGACACTTCAAAGGGAGCCGATTCTGAAAATCTGGCCTCTCTAAGGAGTCTCATGTCGGCCACCCAAAAATTGAGGAACCTGTTCCTTGCAGGTTCGGCATAACAAACAGAGTGGAGCTCATCAACCATGACACGGCTTTGAAGTTTACCGCTGGCTGTGCACATCCATGAGGCCAGCTAGAGGGAAGGTGCTTAGTATTCTAAATCAGCGGTTCCCAACCTTTTCCAGATGGGGACCCATTTTGACAATTCAGGAAGACTTGGTGACCCAAAGCAATTCAAAAAATGGGAGAAGGAGAGGGAGCAGAGCCACCTGCGGAGACACTGGTGACCCTTTTGAAATGAAATGGCGACCAATATTTGGGTCCCGACCCATAGGTTGGGAAACCCTGTTCTAAATACACATAGGCCCAAACCACAAGCTTCAGAAATGGATCAACATTTCCCCAACATTCAGGAGTGCTTGGATCCAGGGTTTGAGCGCTGAGCTCTCACGAGTATGACAGAGCTATCAGTGCACTTCAGAGTGATTTTATAACCCCAGCTAATTATGTTCTAGCTGTCTGAAGATGGCAGTGGGTCTGGATTATTGCTAATTAGGATGCAGGAACCATCCAACTAGTCTTCCAACAGCCTAAGAGCAGCATAATAAATAATTTAACTGCTGGAGTCAAAGATGAATTTTGTAATTTGGGGAAACACACAAGTAACTATAAAGAAAAGTTTCATTCAACACTGGTGGCTGCTGGAGCAGCAATGATGAAACAGCATACAGTAACATCAAAATACACAGACATGTAGCACAGTAAAGGAAGCATCTTGTAGTGTTTAAAGCAGGGGCCTGGTCGACACTACAAAGCTCAGTCGAACTAACTACATTACTCAGAGCTCAGGATGTAAGCGAGGAGTCAAGTAGTAGCCTAGGCTTATCGGGGAGTCAAGTTGACTACTTGCTTTCCTCACCTTGCTGCCTCTGTATCAGAGGCAGCAAGGGGGGGGGGTGTAGCAGGAGTCAGTTCACCCCAGCACCATCTCCGCCGTGCCGCCTGCTCCCCCATCTTCCCATGCTGCTGCCTCTATTAGAGGCAGCAGCAGGGAAGGGGACTGGGGAGGCTGGGGAGCTGGGACCCCCCGCAGACAGGGGCTGCTAGATCCACTGTGAGCCGGGACTGAGCCAGGCTTGCTCAGTCCCAGCTTGCACCGGGTTGGGGACCTACCCCAGCTGCAGCTCTGCTGTTTAAATGTAGCAGGATCCAGGCTGCCTGCGTGCCCGGCCCCTCCTACATTTAAACTGCAGAGTCGCAGCAGGGGTAGCTCCTTGACCTGGCGTGAGCCAACCAAGCACCTTCCCCTATCGACGAATCGCATAGGCAATACATTGTATCGACTACACGATCAGCCAGATACCCACCTCTTAACATCCTTAACTCAGGGCTGTGAAAAAATTCCTAAAACCTGACCTAATCCCTGATGTAGACACCTCAATGGAATAATACAGGTCAAGAGAAGAATTCTTCCTCTCTCAGAGCGCTGAGTTTACTACAGTGACGGAAGAACTCTTCTGTCCCTGTAGGACATGTGTACCCTAGAGAAGCAGAGTTGCAGCTGTGGCATTGTGGGATTTCTGGGTATTCTGGGAGACAGAGGATTGGTTAATTTTAAAATGGTTTGGGAGTCAGGAGTCATGTTCTATTCCCACCTCTACCACTGACTCGAGCAAGCCACTTCTGTAAAACCAGTGTTTGAAGTTGAAGCCCTCGTTACAAATCTGGGCCTAAACTTCTCAATGGCTTAATTAACTCTTCTGTAAAACAGGAAGGATAATGCAGGATTTACCTATCTCACATCCTGTGAAGAGTCATCAAAGTCTGCAAAGTGATTTGAGATCATTTGATTGACTAGCCTATAGAGAGAAGTGGCAAGTCTTATTGAAGGTTATGACAACGATGTGGAAATGTACAAGCAGATACAAATCAGATTATCAGTAAGTAAAACAAACTGTGTGTTACCTGCAGGTCAAAGAACTTGCTGTACCTCCGGTAGATGATCTGGGAAGTTGAGTCAGACCATGTTACATTTATGATATATACCTGTTTGGGGGAAGAAAAAAAAACGTCAGCACGGTGCCTAAGGAGTCCTAAAGCATTGGCTGAAAGTCAAAGATAGACAAATCAAGACCAATATGTGAGTCTATATAAGGAGATGATTTCAAAATTTTAGTAAGTTTGGCAGTCTAATCCCACTCAGTCCTGTGTACACACAAGAAGGAACACAGCCCCAAATTCAAAGTTAGTCTAAGCTATAGTTTGGCACAGAGCATCGTCCTGCTCTCATAGGGCTGAGCGGGACAGCTAACACTTGGAGGGACTGGCACTGTCCAGACAGGCTTCCTTTCTCCTAACACCAGGCATCTGCAGCTACTCTCCCTGTGTCCCTACCAGGCACCAAAGCCTTTATCCCTGTCTCCTGCACAGACAAGCTTCACCCTTGTGGTACAAAGTTCTGTTGTCCCTGAAGAGTGAAGTTGTTAGCCACAATCCTTATCCCAGAGCTTGGGGCTCTTTTAGATTTCCTGGATCTAGACCACAGAGCATCTTGAAGACAAGGACTGAGACCCTGTATGTAACTGGATATTGCATGAGAAGACTGTAGAAAACAGGTTTGATGTCTTTATGGTAGCCTATACTACTTACTGCTGCAGCAGTGCCTAGGGACACCAATTGAGATGAAGGCCTGATTGTGCTAGCCGCTGTGTAGATACATCCTTGCTCTGAAAAGTTTGTGTTGTAATCCCAGCCCCAATGGGAGCAAAACTCCCTTTGTCTCCAGTAAAGTCAGGGTTTCATTAACAGCCTTTACAATGGAAATTTAATCTTTTGAGTTTCAAAGTCTCTGTAAATCTCGTTGATTTGTTTTATTTGATTCTACTTCATTGGTAGATCCTAGCAGGTGGATAAGAAAAGCACCTTAACTAACCATGTGGGCTATTAGCTAGAAATACACAGGATCTAATTCTGCTGTCTGGGAATGAGGTGTAAATCTGGAATGACTTGATTAATTTATGCAGACAGGCAAAATATCAAATTCATCTTGGGAAAGTAGGGATGTAAATCCCACTGAACTGGTTAACATGATGTTTAACCGGTTAACTGATTAAAGGGGAGATGGGTGGAAGGGGCTGCCAGGGTTAGAACATCCCCCTGCTGCAAGCAGGAGCTGCTCTAGGCTGGCCGGCCTGTGTGCCACATGCCCGGGGCCCGCCACAGAGAAGAGATGCGCAGCCCTGGCTGGAGTGCTCCTACCCTCAGTGGGTCTTGCAGGGCCGAAGCAGCCCCCTGCCCACGGCAGGCAGGGAGCTGCTCCAGCCCCCACCAGTTAACTGGAATTAGTAATCACCCTTAATGGGTGATGCTTAATGGATAAGCACCATTAAGGCCATTCTAGTGGTCTCAAAAGCCTCAAATACTACTCTCCTCCTTCCACAGGAATCTCTGCTCCTCATTTATCCAGCTGTACCGGCCTTGGATTTACTGACAATCTTTGCATGAAAGGCTGGCTCAACTCCCATTACTTATTCACCAGCTCGCCTCATAATTTTCAGCTAGGGTCATTACAAAACGATTAATGATATCCCTGAGGACAGTGACTTCAGATGAAGAATGAGTTCCTTGGGAGACGGTATCCATGCAAATGCGACTGCAATAGAGAAACAGTGGGGTGGATAGATGGATGGATCGATGGCAGACCTGAAAATGCCTGACAAATATGGAGAACTGTCCCTCATTCAAATGTTCCGAAGGCCGGCAGGGAAGGAGTCAGATCTAGCTGCTATGTATAAATTTGAGAGCCAGCTCTTGTGCATTTCATCCCATCTTCCCGATATTTCAAAATCCAGCCAGCTCACAAGAATGGAGCAGGAGAGAGAGAAACTGCAAACAAGCCTGTGGCTTTGATATTTTGTAAGGCTACATAGAGAGGTTTGGAGTTTCTGCAACACTCCAGTCCGCAATGTGGGAGGCAAACAGATTTTTCAGGGTGGGAAGCCAGCATAGAGTTGGGTTTTTTTAAAATGATTACTAACATTTTGAACTGGTCAGTTTTTGATGTTCCTTAAGCCTTTAGCACAGATGTAGAATATGCCGTGTGCACCTACATATACACTGCATGCAAGAAAACCTGCGAGCTAGAATCTCTGAGTTGTTAGACGGTATCTCAAGGGTCATTTCCTTATTTAGAATCCCCCAAAAAGACTGCATTACACATAAAAAAATCTGTTTAAACAACTTCATGAAGGCTGCCAAGTCAAACACTCAAAAGATAGGAAATGCAAGAATTAAGGCTCCTTATGCAACCCTTACTTCAATCCGGCTGTGTGTATGCATGATGATTCCATTATTCCAGCTAGCCTATCGCCCTGTTTCTGACAGAGGCCAGTACCTGCTGCTTCAGAGGCAGTGGCAAGAACCTCTGCCCTAAGCAGCTATGGAATAACCCTCTGTGGGCATCAGGACTCATCTCCCCATTTTACAGATGGGGAAAATGAGGCCCAGGGATTGGAGAGATTAGTACTGAAGTCACTGGCAAAACTGTCAGCACCTTTTTCAGTGGAAATAACTGATCCTTATGTTCTTATCCTGCCCCGTATTGTCAGTTTTGGTTGGAGTAGTCCTGGAGGTTTCCTTCATGTTACATAATCCTGGAGTCTCGCGATCCTAGCAATGGTCCCACACTTGGACTGGTAGCAGCAGGGAGGTTCCTCTTGCCTCCTAGAGAAGCAAGGGAAGCAGCCTGGGGCCCACAGGAGAGACAGCAGGGATTCCTCTCCTGGCAGGAGGGGCAGAGGTGCCTGCTGGGTACCTTCTCCTCCCCACTCACTCCCCTCAGAAGAGGTAGCTGGCAGCAAGAGAGATCACAGTATTTCCCCCCAAAAGCCAGAGTATCTGTTTGAACAGATACACCAGACCAACTCCAGCACTTCTGCCCTGCCTGAAGGGGTGTGATGGTGGCGGATGCGAGAGTAGAGGAGCTCGGAGTTAACACCTCTCTGAGATGCATGGGGCAGGTCAGCCCTCTCACGGCTACTGTTTCAGCGACAATTGGATCCAGTTTTTGAGCTTTCATCTACAATCGTGTTGGCTACAAGTTTACCTCATTTTTTTTAAGATTAGATTCTGATGGACTCACGTGACTGCTGAAACTAGGACCCTTTGACTGACTTTCTCTCTGAACACAGCCTCAGTTTTGGCATGTTCGCATTCTCATCCAAGGCCGCAGTTCAGACCCATGTCCAGCTTGCTAACACTCTAAGGGTACCTCCCGCAGCAGCAAGCCTCTCAGCCCAGGTGGACAGATTTGGGCTCACAGGGCCTGCAATACCATGTTAAGACGGCCTGTGTAGACACTGTGGCAAAGGTGAGAGGTTGGATTCTAAGCTAGAGGTCGAGGGATGCCTTGAACCCTGAGCCACAACTTCAAAGCACCGTCCACAACACAGCTATGTTTAGCGTAGCTGCATGAGCTATGGGAACCCGAGTCTGGTGGCCTATGCTAGGAGGTTGGCTACAGCAGGCTGTGCAGATATTTTGGTAATGTAGGGACCCCTGAAATACCCACAGATGTGAAATCAGCCTGTGAAAACTGAGACAGGCTTAGAACCAGAGGCAATTGCATAGCTGGTGCCATGAAATGAGCTCACTTTTCAGCAAGACGGTCACTGAGGGGCTGATGAAAGACGATTTTCAAACACAATCTATAACACGTGGGGTTAGGAGCCGTTCTCCCCGTTTCAGTTGGAAGAACAGTGAGCTGAGACACAGAAGCAGCCTTGAACAAACAACCCAAGCACCCCAATGATGACAAATGGAGAGAATTTGTCCTGGGCTACTCATTCTATTGTTCTGTTGTTTTAAACTAGTCTGGTGAGCACAGGCTAAGGCAGACTCTGCACAGGTGCAGAGTGTCTGGCTTTTTGATGAAACAGATGTTGTTTCGCAGACACCCCTCCATACAGCTTGAGTTTCCATTACCAATCAGGGGAATGTAACCGAGAAGCAGCCCAGGCTAACCCATGGGTCTGATGGATAAAAGTTGCACACGTCTCGCTTTTTAAATGGCAGCAGCGTTGCAGTGGGATTGGAAAGAAGGACTCTCATGGCACTACAACACTTTTTTGTTTATGGTGCAGGGACCAGCTGCCCCAGGGGCAAACCACTTTAGTGACTGGGCAGCTACCCAGTGGGCCACATTCTCAGCATTTGCTCCATTGATCTCAATGACCTTTTTATTCTACTTCCAAAGTGGGGTAGGGTGCATCTCAGAATGGAGAAATGCTTGGCCACTTGAGCTTGCAGTCTACCCAGCCATACAAAAGGAGATATTTGCTGACCCACCATATTCCTTCAGGCAGCATGTTTTTACTCTGAACGGTGATGCTACAGGACAAGATTCCCAGCGATGCAGACCTCTTCTTCAGGTCTGAGAAAGGTCCGAAGCATCACAGCTAACCAGGATCCAAAGAGCACTTTACCATAAGGAGTTAGCTCTTATTCCGAGGGACCATTCAAGGGGAAGTGGCCTGCTAACACCCTGTAGTCACAGGGTGGTTCGACCCCAAGCTCTGGAGGGTCCCGCAGGGCCCAGGGTGGCCTGTGGGATTACTGGGGGTTTGGCATAACAACAGGGGCCAGGCCACCCCCTGCACTGACCAGCAGCAGCGAGAATTGTGGGAAGCGGAGCAACCTGGCTCCAGCCTGCCCCTCTCCCCGAGATGGCGGGGAGCCAGGCTCACGGGAGTGCAGAAGGCTAGGGCCAGGTGGCTCCGTTCCCATCGCTGCAGTACGTGTGGGGGGAACCTCTGCTGCCAGTGCCAGGCCTACGGGCAATCCCCTGAGTCGCGTCCCTCAGGGGAGGGGGCTTGGAAGGAGGGGTGCAATGCGGGTGGGAGGGGCGGAGCAGGGCAGGAAGAGGTGGGAGCAGGTCTTGGGAGAACGGGCAGAGTTGGTGCAGGAAGAAACAGGTGTGGGCTTTTGGGAAAGTGGTGAAGTGGGGGTGGGGTAGGAAGAGGTGGGTCAGAGCCTGGGGCAGAGGGGAG